AGTGTGTAATTTCCACAACTAGAACTAATAAAAACTAGTTAAAAATACAAACATACAATCGGAAATTACATGAATATCACTAACAAAGACTAAATGCATTCGGGAATTTCAAGCCTATTCTTAGGATCAAAGAGTTCAAAAGGACACTAATTAGGAACTATCATTTAAACCTATGCAAGGAGTAGACATGGTGTACAACTAAGCTAAACCGTCGCTGCATATTGGTGCTTTGACGTATACTTGAATTACGTGAAGGACTAATAATGCTAATTTTTCACAAGCCTTCAAGTTCATTGAATAAGATTCAATTTTCCTTGTCATGTTGGCACGAGAACGTCATTTCTTTCGAAAGATTCCCAAGTCTCATCTTATTGTGCAAAACACTTACGCTTTTTGACCGGGTTTCCCATCCTTTTTTTTCGCAAGATAAGAGGTCTAACTATTAATTAATTTTTTTAAATTTTCAAATTTTTACTAGACATTATCTCATTCTAATCTCGGCCTCACACAGGAAAATTAGCAATTAAAGTTCATTTAAAATAGGTGAATCCATGTCTACGATGCAATACTCGAAAATATCAAATTCCTAAAAAGTGACTGCTCATACCCCATTTGGACCATAGGAACAGTGCCAAGAGTGACTCCTACAAAAACACCCTAAACTTAGCAAATTGATCCCCTAATTTCCTAAAGACCAAGACTTTGTCAGAAATATTCACGGGTAAGGAAACACAGGCCATTTGGCTATGGAGCTCAATTAATCGGGTTAAGAACAAACGGTCAGGCTCAAACGGCTTCTCATAAAGGACTTATTTAGGTGGGGTGGACAATTAATTAATTCAATGGGTGACTAATGCCTTCATCCTCTCAGCAACTAGATTATAGTGCAAGCAATTTAAGCCTAAACACTTCAAAGATGTTCTAAAAGCATAGAGAAGTTATATTGTGTTGGGTGTGTTTCGGATAGCAAAGAAAATTAATTAAAATAAATTAATTAAATAAAATGACTAGAGAAAAACAAGAAAGGAGATGAAGCTCGTGCTACGCACGATGTCCTTAAAATGTATTTGTTGCCTCCCACGGTGCTAGAAGCGTTGCAACAACCGTTTCCCAGGATACGATGACTACGAACTAATGTTTGAGCACACAAACAAAAGTTCCAGCGAACGAGAACACAGTATGAACACAGAGGAAATTTTCGGAAGTAGCTGGAGGTGTTTTTTCAGCTGAAGAAATACTTGAGCTAGTGTGTAAGATCGTGTAAGATCGTGTGTTGATGCAAACCACCTGCCAGCCATTATATAGGAGGATTTGTTGTGTGCAAATGGTGAATTGATGGACCTGAACGTTGGACATCAATGACCAGTCCATTGGGCATTGAATCGTCCATGAAATGTCCATTTAACGCTGCATTAAAAGATAAGAACGTTGGGCATTTATTGTTGTAACGGTTCAGATGCGCGACAGAAGACCCCCCAACAGAACACCCCTTCGAGGGGTTCTGTTCGAAGCCAACAGAACACCCCTTTGAGGGGTTCTGTTCGACGCCACCAGAACCCCTCCGAGGTGTTCTGGTCGAGGCCTTCTGTCCAGAGCACTTCTACCACTGGGAAAAAATAAACGTTTCGGGAAGAAAACAAAAATTAACCGTATCTCTTGAGAGATAGATTTTTGGACGACATTCGTGTCCGCACTCGCGGTTTTTCTCCAATTTCGGGATTTGATTTGCACCCCCCTCCTGTGCGCGTGGAGAGAGCCTTTACCCTAAGGAATCTTAACTCCTTAAGGGGGGGAGTCCCTTTATAAAGGGTTGCAAATCCCTTGGGTTTTCCAGTGTGGGAAATAACACACTAGAAACCCATCCTTTTTCCCAGTTTTTCCATTCTAACGAGTAAACTTCGAGAATCAATTTCTCATTCACCCGTTATCCGTTTTGAGCGTACCATATATCGAATTGTAGCCCTTAACAAGGACAATCCGAAACCACTTTTAACCGACCCAAATCGGAAGTGGACCCCACTCAGAAAACTGCCCCAAAATTACCATTTAATGCAATTTTCAACACATTTTTCCAACATATTGTACATACATATAACAATCTTAGGACGTTTTTTCACTTTGAATTGTGCATTCTGCATATTTGTTTCTGCCGTTCACACTTACTTCTATCTGCATGATTGTGCTCTTATGTATACTACTGCATGTATGCCAACATGTAAGCAAGTATGCATTCCTATCCATTATTCCTATGCATTATTTGCCATGGATTATATTGTTACTTTCGTATATGCATGATAATTGCTTTACGTTTTTTAAATTTTTTTACCACTATAATGTCAAATTGTTTAATTTACGTAGTCCACTTGATTTAACTTTAGTTTGCATGTCAGTATTTGTGGAACATTTGTTTTTATTGTTATTGGCCGTGATTTCATTTGGTTGTCTCTCCGAAAGCCAACATAAAATGCTATTTTATTTAACAACATTGCATTTGGTTGTCTCTCCGAAAGCCAACTTGTTTAAGAGGAAGGCGAGACTGATAAGGAGAAAGTAACCGCAGTGGATGCGTGAAAGTATTCAGATTTCTTGTGTAGAAATTATCTCTTAAACGGACTCGATGACTCCTTATACTCTGTGTATGCCAATATAAAGATGGCAAAAGAATTGTGGGAATCACTTGAGAAAAAATACAAGACCGAGGATGCCGGCAAAAAGAAATTTATTGTCATGCATTTCTTGGACTTCATAATGGTTGATCACAAATTGGTTGTTTTGCAAGTTGAAGAATTCCAAGTTATTCTTCATGAAATTCACGCTGAGGGTATGTCCCTTGGCGAGTCTTCCAAGTGCCGGTGGTAATTGAAAAATTAGCTCCCAAATGGAAAGACTTCAAGAATTACTTGAAGCATAAGCGTAACAAAATGTCCCTAGAGGAGCTCATTGTTTGTTTAAGGATAGAGGAGGATAACTGCAAATCGGAGCACAAAGCCGATAGATCAAGTTCCATGGATGCTAAAGCAAACATGGTGGAAGCGGGATCCAAGAAGAGGAAGAAGAGAAAGCACAATGACGAATGAACAAGTGGAGCCAAGTCTTTGTCAAAGGAATTTAAAGGTAAGTGCTATAATTGTGGCAAGCCTGGTCACCGTGCAAAAGACTGCCATGCCCCAAAGAAAAGAAGAGCGGTCAAGTCAACATGGTGGACAACCTCTCCGAAGATTTGAATAAAATGAACTTATTCGTTGGAATCTCTCAATGCAACTTGGTGGGAAACACCAAAGAGTGGGATGTTGATACGGGAGCTACCCGTCATATTTGCGCTAACAAATGGATGTTCTCCGATTATCAACCCGTTGATAACAAATAACAACTCTTTATGGGTAATTCATCCACTTCAAAGGAGGAAGGTCGTGGCAAAATTGTCCTTAAGATGACAAGTGGAAAAACACTTACCTTGACCGATGTTCTACATGTCACCAACACATGCAAGAATCTGATTTCGGGCTTCCTCCTTAGCAAGAATGGCTTCAAGCTTGTCTTTGTGGCTGACAAATTTGTACTTACTAAAAATGATGTGTTGGTAAGAAAGGGTTATCTCAATGATGGTCTCTTCAAAATGAATGTACTTACTATTGTACCCGAACTTGTTGATAATAATTAATAAAGTGGATTCTTCTTATTCGGTTGAGTCTTCTTCTATTTGGCATGCTAGATTAGAACATGTCATATTGATCTTAATCCTAGTGTCAAATTTGTGTTGTTGTAAAAATGGCTAGGAAACCTTTTCACTCTATTGCTAGAGAATCTGAACCGCTAGATCTCATACACACAGATCTTTGTGATCTCAAGTATGAAGAAACTAGAGGGTGGAAAAGGTATTTCATTACCTTCATCGATGATAGCACAAGATATTGCTATCTGTATTTGCTACATAGCAAAGATGAAGCTGTTAATGCTTTTAAGCATTATAAAGCTGAAGTTGAAAATCAACTTGGAAGAAAATGTGATGTTACCGCTAAATGTGTGATCGTGTAAAAGAATTGAGAGAGAATAGGAAGGGAAGAAAGGTGTGAGAGAGAGATCATAATATAGTTAATACTTCTCTGCCCCTTGTCCATGTCATACAAATTCCTTTTATACTAAAGGATGATTTATCTATAAAGTAATAGTAACTTAAATAAAACAGCCCAATAACAACTTGAATAAAACCAGCCCAAGTTGGGTAATCAACCCACTTTATTTAAATGTCAGATTAGGTGCCCTCTTTTGGTGATTTCACGACAATACTCCCCCTTTTTTAGATCCTTGTCCCCAAGGATGTGTTGTTGAAAACATGCTCTTGAAAACCTTCTTTGATGCCCACCTTGTAATCTGTTCACAATTATTTCCCAGAACGAGGAATAGGGTTACTGGTGCAGGCCCCTCTCCTCCAATTTGTACCTTGGCAACTGAGGATGGCGATATACTGGGAACTACTGCCCTAGAGCAGATGCATTTCTTCAGGAGTGACACATGGAAAACTAGGTGTATCTTAGCCTCCTCCGGTAAGTCCAATCTGTACGCAACTTTTCCAATACGCTCCAGGATAGTATAAGGCCCATAGTAACGTGTTGCTAACTTCTGGTTCTTTCTTAGTTGTACTGATTGTTGTCTATAAGGTTGCAGTTTTAAATACACCCTGTCCCCCACATCGAACTCTTGGTCCCACTCGTTTAGAGTCTGCATAATACTTCATGTCACGCCCCAGACCGCAATCCAAGCGCGTGTACAACCGCCGTATAACTAAGTGACGTCACCCACGGGTCAACCTCACTTAATCACACAAGGCGTTCGAGAAAACAATCCATCCATACTCAGTAGTAAACATACATAACAACATCACATTAAACCAATGAATAGCGGAAATATTCAACGGTAAGTCATGGGCCACAACCGGCCGACAACATGGGCATGCAAGCCCCAAAAATACTTTATAGTAAAACAAATATCCATGAGCAAGTGTTCGGTAGTTTGAAAGAAAATAAGGAAGCACGAACCACGTCTCCCTGATTTAATATCACCCGTGAGAAGGTGCAAGTAGCAAGCTCTAGCTTCAACCTGAAAATGGTGGGGCCCCGCGAAGGGGTCAGTACAAGTACCGAGCGAGTAGCAGGCTAAATATAGAATAACTAGCGTTTCAAGTATAAGACCCAAACATAGGGTGATACTTAAATAAATAATCTTTCCCCCAAGTTATGAAATACTTATTAGTATATATATACTTGGAAAATATCCGATCCGCAGATCACCATTTTATTTGGGAAAAATAGTAATAGTCAATATTCTTGACTAAAAACCCCAACCCACCCATATACCTATGAGTGTATAGGACTCCTCCTTGTCCCTATTTGTATATCATAATCTATGAGTTTTAGGATCATAATCCTTGGATACTCCACCGGTTTATGAGTGTTAAGGACTCATAAGTCCTAGGGTCCTCCACCAAGTTTTGAGTGTTAAGTACTTTTAAGTACTAGGGTCCTCCACCAAGTTTGAGTGTTAAGGACTTTTAAGTCCTAGGGTCCTCCACCAAGTTTGAGTGTTAAGTACTTTTTAAGTACTAGGGTCCTCCACCAAGTTTGAGTGTTAAGGACTTTGAGTCCTAGGGTCCTCCACCAAGTTTGAGTGTTAAGTACTTTTTAAGTACTAGGGTCCTCCACCAAGTTTTGAGTGTTAAGTACTTTTTAAGTACTAGGGTCCTCCACCAAGTTCTCCTATGATCAACCTCCTATCAACCTAGATAGAGTCTATATCATCCTTAGTTACTCATAACTAATCCAATACATAAATTTTATGTATCACAATCCATGCAAAGCCATGCATTTATATAGGTTTATAATTAATTAATACCAACCGGTATTAATTAAATCCTTTGTTCTTCGGTCCACGTTTTCGTAGACCGCCATTTCATGCCTTGAGTGTATAAACTTAATCATCATATAATTAAGTTAATAATATTCATTTGTGCTTCCAATACACTTCAAGCAAATATGCATTTCATATAATTCTTCATATCATATTCCATGCATCAACAATTAATTTCTTTCATACAAACTTAACCCTATTGGCTAATCACATGTTTAAATATCCTTTAAACTTCATTATGAACTCATATGACATTTATTTAGGTAATCTCATAATTAACCCAAAAGTTATAAGATATTAAGCCGTCCACTCACCTCGAACTAGCGTTATGAAGTTCTACCCTTCTCGGTTGAACTCCGGTGAAACTCCGGCGACTTTTGGTCAACTCCGGCGACAACTCCGGCGACTTTTCCAACTTTGTGAAATCACTTGAAATACCCCTTACAAGTTCCTAACAAGGTTTTATAATCATAAAACTCTTATTAATACAATAACCTCTAAAAGGTTATTTTCCGGTGAACCGGTCGTTTTGGCTTCTAAGTCCGTTCTTGGACATAGAATCCCTTTCCAACCCATTAATCCATACTTATAACATGTAGAACCCTCTTAAGGATCCTTCACATGATATATATCTCATATGGTAGAAGAAAAATAAAGAAAAAGTTATAATAAGGTCATTACCTTAATTCTACACACCTTTCCTAGCCTTTTTCCTTCTTTAAACTCCCTCTTTTTCCTTGTTTGAGTTTGAGCTCGTGTTCACCTATGGAAAATGGAGTTGCAGAGCTTCCTCTCTCTTTTCCTTTGGGTCTTGGCCGAGTGTGATAGGGGTGGGTGATGTGTGTTTTCTCGCACCTAAAATGATGTAGTAAAATGGTGTAAAGTACGAGTATCGTCTCCACAGGGACGGACAAAAGGGAAATAAAGATTAACTAAACTTTAGCGATTAAAAAGAAATAAATAAAATAAAAAAGTGCAATTGTGCGAGATTGGTTGATTGATTGAAATAAAACTAATGCTAATGAGCGAATAAAAAGATTTGGTTTTCCTTAATTAACGACGAAGGGAACAGGAATTGATTCCAGGGTCAATCAGATTTCTGGCAGAACAGGCTTAATCACATGAATTTAATTTAATTGAGCCTAGCTAATCATTACTAAGTTCTTACCGCTCTCGCGGCGTAGAGTACAGTAATTTAGGGGACCAGGCTGATCTCTCATGCGACAGGATCCTAAATTATTGCCAAAACGAGCGAGCTTACGGCCCCTTAATCGCTACTAATCTCTTAGTGAACGATTAAGTGTGTGTGAATGTGTCCTAGAACAAATTAGATCTCTCTTAATTTATTCTACATGCAATTGTAATTCTAGCTGCAGTCTAGGTTACAAGAGATATCAATTAAATTATTCAAACACAAATTAAACGGCATTCATGCAATTAAACCGACAAGAATCTAGCCATCAATCATGATTAACCCCTTCATCAACCCCAAATCCCTAATTAAACTACTCACGCCTCATAATTGACGAATCAAAAGAATTGGGATGAATAGAAATAATTGTCATTAATTAAAGAATTGAACTTACAAAGAATCCCAGGTTCTTGGATTAAACAACGTAAAAAACGCAGATAAACTCGTCCCTAGGCCTCTCTCCAAAGTTCGTAACCCCAAAAGTGGGTATGGAGGCCTTATTTATAGAAAACAGGAGAATTTGAGCTGAATTAGGACAAAACGGGGTCAGGCACGGTGCCAGGCACGATCGTGCCTGCGACCGTGCCTGCGGAAGGGACGCGTAAAAATTTTGCAGACACGATCGTGCCTGCACCGGACACGATCGTGTCTGGCTGCCAGTGGCTCCGCGTTGATTAAGATGGCAGGCACGATCGTGCCTGACCTAGGCACGGCCGTGCCTGCCCTTTTCTTCACCATTTTTTCTTCGTTTCTAGTTCCGAATGCTCCCGAATGCCTACAAGGTCGATCCAAATGCTCTTTCTTCACCAGAATTTCGTCGTGAATCTCCCGGTGGCCTCCAAATCTTCCAAATCTCTCTCGAATGTCTTCAAACCCTTCCCGAATGCCTCTCAAGCGCCGATTGCCGGACTCCAACTTCTTCAAATCAACTCCAAATGCTATGAAACTCGATCCAACGCCTGTTAAACACAACTTGAGCCAAAATTGAGACTTGCATCACCTTAAAGCCAGGAAAATCATCAAAATCCGACTCGAACACGCATCAAATGCGTGTCTAAATACGGACTTATCAGACTCCCCCACACTTAAGCTTTTGCTTGTCCTCAAGCAAATCGAACAACGGGACTTACGATAATCACCACACGGAATTTAAAACAATTAGCATACATACGTAGTTAAAGGGATATTCACAGGACAGACAATTTAAATCAAGAAAATTCTTCCCTAAACTACACCTTTGTACTCAAGCTAAACTATTTGACACGATTATTCACAACATCCTCAAAGTAATGACAGCATTCACTAATAAGCTAGCTACTGATCAGAAGGACTTGTGAATTTGATGGTGAATGGATAATAATGAAAGTAGTCCCTTTATCTTGAGAGATAGGAATATTCTAACAAAGACTTAATGTATTTAGGTACTTCAGGGTTATTTTTGGGGATAGGGAACTCAGTAGGCCACAAATTAGGAACAATCATTTACGCCTATGCAAAGAGTAGACATGGTGTACAACTAAGCTAAACCGTCTCGGCACTTTTGTGCTTTGACGCATACTTGAAGTACGCGGAGGACTAAAGCTAGTTTTTTCAATAGCCTCCAAGTTCATTGATTAAGTTTAGTTTTCCTTGTCATGTTGGCACGAGAACGCCGTTTCTTTCGAAAGATACCCAAGTCTCATCTTACGCTTTTTGACCGGGGCTCCCATTCTCTTTTTCGCAAAGTAAGAGGTCTAGCTATATTAATTTTTCACCTTTCGGATTCTTACTAGACATTACCCCATTCTAATCTCGGCCTCACCAAGGAAAAATAGCAATTAAGGTTCATTTATTTCAAAGTGAATCCATGCCTACAATGCAATCCTCGAAAGTATCATATTCCTAAAAAATGACTGCTCTTACCCCGTTTGAAGCATAGGAACAGTGCCAAAAAATGGCTCATACACAAATTCCCTAAACTTAGCAAATTAATCCCTTAATTCCCTACACATCAAGACTAAGTTAGAAATATTCACGGGTAAGGAAACAGGTCATTTGGCTATGGAGCTAAATTAATTGGGTAAACAAAGAACGGTCAGGCTCAAAAATGGCTTCTCCTAAAGGGTTCTTTCAGGTGGGGTAGACAATTAATGGAAAATTCAATGGGTGACTAATGCCTTCATCCTTTCAACAACTAGATTATAGTGAAAGCAATTTAAGCCTAAACACTTCAAAGATGTTCTAAAAGCATAGTCAAAACGCTAGCCAACTCACAAAGACACAGTTTAAAGAAAAATTTTCAAAAATTGACATGAATTTCTTATGAATATCAACTAACACGTGCGCATGCTAACTTTAAAAATCACATGTGGCAACTACTGCCCAAATGCCCAATTCACTCCCCCACACTTAAACTTTGGCATCGCCCTCGATGGCCAAATATGCATTATGTACTAGGGGTAAAGAGGAAAGGGTCACGCGTGCTCAAAAACAACTCAAGTTAACATTACGCATCGAGAAATAAGAATCATGGAAACTCCCCTATCGCGTTGGTCGGTCAGGAACAGAACTGGGTCTTGATTCGCACGGCACATTTATCCACAAAGCTGCACACATCATGAACACAAAGCAAAACAAAGCATAATAAAAAGCGTTAAGTGTAAGCGTGAGAGTGTGAGTGTGATAGTGTTTAAGGTACAGTCATCCAACAGTATAATGATACAGATGCTAGCAGAGGACAATCTAATAAAATCTAAAACTCAGGAGGGGGGTGGCGGTGGATAGGCATCGAAGAATGAACTCCAGCTGGTCTCCATGGAGGTGAGTCTCTCATCAATCCGTGTATACTGAGACTGGAGCTGTGAATAGTGGAGTGCCTGGTCCTCCCTCATCTCTCTGTAGAAGTCCTGCTGCTCGAAGCGCATCTGATCGAACCGCTCATGCTGCTCAGCGGACAACTGCCGATAGACGGCATCCTGATGCGCATGCATCCCCGCCCAAGAATCCGGAAATGCTGTGCCGTAGGGGGGTGCATCGTATGAAGCCTCGTGAGCAGCCTCCTCCATCTCTACCTCATCATCATCATCAGCGTCGTCATCATCATCATCATCTCGCTGTCCTCCTCCTCCTGCTGGTGCTGCCTGCTGTGTCCTTCTCCTTGCCACGCCAGTGTTGACCTCGGGGAGCCGGGTCAAAGCAGCAAAACTGGAGCTCTCCTCCATCCTCTGAAAGCGGTCCCCGAACCCCATCCTAGTCAAAAGTCTCGTAATGAATGGGCCAACATAAATGGCCTTGATGTGGTTCGTGGCTTGGCGGTGGAGGAGTTTGGCTATGAGATAGCCCATGTGGGGCTTGCAGTTGTGGATCATACAATATAAGCAGAAGAGGTCCGTCTGAGTGACCTTACCGGCAACCTCGGCCTTGCCGGTGATGGTGGAGGAAAGGAGTGCGTGTATAATGCGGTACTGGCGGGGGTAAAGCAAAGTGCTAGGGGACTTCTTCGGTGTGTAAGTCCCGCCATCTCTCGTAATCGACTCCCAGAATGCCTGGCGATCGACGCCTGGGGGAAAGTCTGTCAGAGTAGCCTCGTGCTGGCCGTTATCCTCGATCCCCATAAAACCCAAATGATAGCGCACCTCCGCCATGGAGATGACATGGTCCTCCTCGAATGCCCGGAACTTGATGACGGGCCTATGGTTGTCATCAATAGGGATGACCTTCGGCATCTTGAATGTCGCCAGCACCTCGCAAGTAATCTCTCTATAAGTCATATCACGGATCCCAAAAAATAGGTGCCTCCACCACCCACGTCTCAAAAGGAACATCACGTCATCTCTCACTCCTGCTGCCGTGAGAGAGTCCTCATCTGGAAAGTAGAATGTGCCCATAGGCTTTTGCAGCAGCTCCGTATGCTTCAGTTCGTCCCGCAGTTGCGGGAACCTGGGCTGGTACCGGCTGGTGTTGCCTCGGCTAGAGCCGGCACCTCCACCTCTAGTATGCTTCTGCCTTGGTGCCATCTGTCAAAACAAATCAGAACAAGAATTCCAACGGGGCTTCCAAATGTTAGAACAAATTTTCAAAGTACAGCAATGGCCCCGTCAGCACTTACTCAGGCAAAAAAAATCATCTTAGTAGAACAAACCCAAGTTTAACCAGAATAGTTGAAAAGTTTGAATTTTTATCAAAGAAGAGGTCTTTGAATAAAAGTTCAAATTTTCAACGACACACGGTATAAACAAGGTCACAAGAAAGCGTATTCATCACAACAGTGTTTGTAGAATGGAGTTCCTCCCAAGAGAATTAGCAAAAAGATCACAATTAGGGGGAACAACCCAAAATTCTCAAATTTGGCCTAAAATTGGGGATTTATGCTCAAATGGACTAAAAAACAAGGTTTCAATATCAAAAGCAATAATTCACTCCTTAATTTAAGCATCAAGCACAAAAAAAAATCCCCAAATTTTTCTCACATTCATCAATTTTCAACCCTAAATTGGCTAAATTAGCTCAAAAATTAGGGATTTCAATCAAAAGAGGCAAATTCATCAACAAAGAACATCAATAACATCAATTCAAGCCTCAATTAACACAAAGAAAGCATAATCCCTAAGATTTGAGCACATGCAGATTCGAAATTTTCAAAGCTTTGAAAGTCCTCCATTAATGGTGGAAGGAGAGGGGAAGAAGAGGATACCTTGCTAGCCGATTAGAGTAGAGAGAGAAGGTGGGGAGGGGTCGCCGGTTGGTGTGGCGGTCGCCGGTGGTGTGCGGTGGTCTCGGCCGGTGGTGGTGGGTCGCGGGTGGCTCGGTGTTGTCGAGGTAGAAGAAGAAGAAAGCAGGGCTAGGTGATGTCGCGTAAAGGAAAAGGGGAGAGAAGGGGCTGGGGTTTGGGTTATTTAAGTCGCGGGGGTAATCTGGTAATTCCGCCCAGGCACGATCGTGCCTAGGCCAGACACGATCGTGTCTGGCAGGCAGTGGGCACGCTCCTCTCGCGTCCCAGGCACGATCGTGCCTCCAGCCAGACACGATCGTGCCTGGCTGGCAGTGGCCTCGCGTGTTTTCCCCTTTTGCAGGCACGATCGTGCCTGCCCAGGCACGACCGTGCCTGGCAAAAATCGATTTTTTTTTTTTTTTTTTTTTTTTTTTTTTTTGTGGTTTTTGTGGGTTTTCTGAAAAGCAGTAAAACTAAACTAACAAAGCACAAATTAAGCTCGGGTTGCCTCCCGAGAAGCGCTATTTTTAACGTCGTTTGCCCGACGCAACTACGCACTCAAAAACTCAGTCAAAGACACTTCCGCTCAGAAAATTTGTCTTCCACAAATCAAACCTCTTATCAACAAATGCCCTGAGATGGCATAAGACCTTAAATTCATGAAAACAATTACGCATCTCAGGGTTACCCGTAAAGCAACAGAATGGATCGTGGCCTTTATCAGGCCCTTTAGCAAAGAATGGGTCAAAGAATGGACAACTCCCTTTCATGTCAAAAATTTTCCGAGCTAGAGCTTCCCCTTGTTCGCTAAGTAAATTAAAACATGTAAAATTTTGGGATGGCTCAAGCTCGGGTGTAAAAATGACAGGGGGGTCAGGATTATCATCAATAAAATCATGCTCATTTAAATCACCTCTCGTCTCTCGCTCAGAACTAGCATCACTTGAATCCTCCCCTCCACTTATCATAAGACAATCAAAGCTAGGGAGGGGCTCAAGATCCTCTGCTGATATACTCTCTTCCAACAAAATATCAAACGGGGCTTCCTTGGAAAGCATGTTAGGTGTGCAATCCTCCACCATAGAATCAATATCATCCACATAAAAACACTCTCCACTGTCCTGACAGGGCCTCTTCATTATTTTGGACATATCAAAGGTGGCAGTCTCATCCCCAACACGGAGGACAAGCTTACCGTCTCCAACATCAATAAGCGCTCGGGCAGTTGCCAAGAATGGTCTGCCCAAAATTAAAGGTACCTCACGATCCTGATTCATGTCCAAAATAACGAAGTCTACAGGAATAATAAACTTGTCCACTTTAACCAACACGTCTTCAATAATACCTTTAGGATATTTGACTGAACGGTCAGCCAACTGAATACACATACGCGTTGGTTTAAGTGGACCGAGTGCAAGCTTCTCATACAAGGAATATGGCATCAAATTAATGCTTGCACCCAAATCAGCTAAGGCCCTATCAAAAGTAAGATCTCCTATTAAACAAGGTATAGTGAAAGAACCTGGATCCTTAAGCTTCTCTGGTAGATCTCTCCTAATCACTGCTGAACAGTCCACGTTAAGCCCTACCGTTGACGCGTCTTCCAACTTCCTTTTGTTAGTGAGTAAATCCTTCATGAACTTGGCGTACTTCGGCATCTGTGCTAGTGCATCCACGAATGGAATGTTGAGCTGGACTTGTTTCATGAGTTTCAGAAAATGACCAAACTGGTCACTATCATTCTTCCTAGTCAATCGCGCCGGATAGGGGAGAGGAGGGGTGTAATTTTTTACGGGAACGGGCTGTTTTGGTGCAACTGCCACCTCTCTCTCCTCTTCCTTCTCTTTTTCTTCCTCCCGGGCAGCAGGTACATCTTTAACTTCCTCAGACTTCTTTGCCGTGGCAGCAGGTTCTAATTCTTTTCCACTCCTTAAGGTGACTGCATGAACATGTTCTCTTGGGTTTGGCTCAGTATTGCTAGGGAGGGATCCCAGAGGCCTCTCAGATAAAGTCCTTGAGATCTGCCCCAATTGAGTCTCCATGTTCTGCATCCTTGAGTCAGCCTGCTGCATCCTCAAATCTGTTTGTTGTTGAGATTGCATTTGTTGCTGCTGAATTTGCAGCAACTTCTTGAGTGTTTCCTCTATGCCAGAAAATCTTTGTTCTGTTTCTCTCTTAAAACTCTCTTGCACTGGCTGAGATGCTTGATGTTGATTAAAGTTCCTAGATTGCTGCTGAATTCCTTGCCCGTAATTTCCTTGCTGCTGCTGTCCGTAGGGCTGATTTTGGTAGCCCTGTCGCTGGTAATACATCGCGTCAACTTGCTCTACTCCAGGGGCTGCCAAGTGTGTCATCATAGTGCATTCATGAGGCGAATGGAGACCCCCACAAATGGTACAAGAGGGACTAATAGGACCGGGGGCTACCATATTAACACTAGGCACCGATAGAGCAAGATTCGTCTTCTTTTGATTATCCTCCACACTGGTAGCAAGCTTCTGAATCATGCTAGTCAAAGCATCTACCCTCGCAGAAAGGGCAGAATTATCACTGATCTCGTACAAGCCCGGGGCCTTCTGGTGAGGTGTGTCCCGAGAGCCATACCATGAAGCATTATTAGAAACTATCTTCTCCACTAATTCTTCCGCCACCTCAGATGGTAATTGAGGAAAAGCTCCTCCACCCGAAGCATCAAGCATCATCTTCCCTTCATCGCTGATTCCGCTGTAGAAACAAGATAGAATCTCACTATCAGTCATCTTGCCTTGAGGGCAAGCTCTTCTTAGCACTTTGAATCTCTTCCATGCCTCGGCCAATGTCTCCAAAGAACCTTGCTTGAAATCCTGCAGCTGCCTCTTCAACTTTATTGCCTTTGATGTCGGAAAATACTCCTTGATGAAGGACTTGTGCAACTGATCCCATGTCTGAATATGGTGATGTGGATTGCTATCCAACCACCTCTGCGCGTCATCCCTCAATGAGAAAGGGAACAATAGCATCCGTACCTGATCATCATCTAGCCCAGGGATCTTGAACGTTTGGCACATCCTCAGAAATTTTGTAATGTGTGCCACTGGATCTTCTGTAGGGCTCCCTCCAAACTGATTATTGGACACCATGTTGATCACCGCTGGGTTGATCTCATAGCGAGGTGCAGTAATTCCTTGCACTTGGATGCTGTCATACTCTGTGATGTCCGGAGTGAGGAAATCTGCAATGGTCTCTCCTTGATAAAGCGGGTTGTTATGTGGGACATAGTTTTGGTATGGAGGAGCTTGATATCTCGGCTGATGAACTGGTTGTGGTCTTATAGGATGTGGACGGGCTATGTTTGCCTGTGCTCGGGGCTGAACTTGGGGCTGATTATATTGTTGAAATTGGGGTTGGAAGGGCTGATTTTGTGGCTGAGTAAGGGGTGGATTTTGTGTGACTGGCGGTTGGTTCTGTCTGGGCTGAAAGAGTGGATTATTTTGTCCAATACCTTGCATCCCGTATGTTTGATTTTGAAAAATGGTTTCGGGAGCAGTAGAGGTATTTTGGAAGAGTTGATAAAGCGGAGTCATGTTGATTTGGGGCGTGGCCTGATTTTGAGGAAAAAATGGTGTGCGGGAATTCTGAAATCCCGAGTAATTTCTAGGTGAAATAGGCGGTGAAGACTGGGGAGAGGTATTGACATAAAAATCAAGGTTACCAGAAGTGGTTTGGACCTCAGACGTCCCAGCAATTCCAGATGACGTAGGTTCCATGGTTGCGTTCTTCTCAAGAAAAACCTTGCGGTTCTGTCTAGCAAACTTCTCAATCTCAGGATTAAGAGGGACAAGTGATTCTCCCTTCTTTGAACGTGTATGCATAAACAGATCTGACCTGCAAGGTTAGCAGACAAAAATCCTACGAAAAACTAAAAACAAGTCGCTAAAATTAATTAACCCTTAAATCCGACACCGTCCCCGGCAACGGCGCCAAAAACTGATGTGTGTTTTCTCGCACCTAAAATGATGTAGTAAAATGGTGTAAAGTACGAGTATCGTCTCCACAGGGACGGACAAAAGGGAAATAAAGATTAACTAAACTTTAGCGATTAAAAAGAAATAAATAAAATAAAAAAGTGCAATTGTGCGAGATTGGTTGATTGATTGAAATAAAACTAATGCTAATGAGCGAATAAAAAGATTTGGTTTTCCTTAATTAACGACGAAGGGAACAGGAATTGATTCCAGGGTCAATCAGATTTCTGGCAGAACAGGCTTAATCACATGAATTTAATTTAATTGAGCCTAGCTAATCATTACTAAGTTCTTACCGCTC